TCTCGCCTTTCAAAAATCGGGGATTCGAAAGAATAAACATTCGGCATTAATTATATTTGAATCTCCTAATTAATTAATAATTAAGCCCCTAATTACACAAAAACCATGGCTTCATTTAAGGTTAATGTTTGCCTTATCTTTTACGTTTTCCTCTTCGTGTCGATGTCTTTGAATTTAGCGGAGGGGAGAGCTCCGGTGCCACCATCTAGTGGTTCTCCATGCACGTACATCCCCGCCCCTGGCAGAGGCGGCATATGCAACGATTCATATGTCTTCGGTGGTGGTGCCGCCTATGCACCACCACCGCCACCACCAGAGCCGGCCTTGGGGGTAAGCCAGGGAAGCCTTGGCTTAGGGCCCCACCCCTCAAGGGGGCCCCACAATTTTTTTTATAAACCACTATATGGCCTCAATAATTAGTTATATAGGACATTTTTTTTATAAACCACTATATGGCCCCAATAATTAGTTATATAGGACATTTTAGTCCTTAAATATTTTATTAGATGTTTGTTTAAACTATATGTTAATGGAATATTTTACAATCTCAACTATTCAAAAAATATAAAGAAAGACCAATTTAAATATTGTGTTTTGTAGATAATATTGTTTATAAATTAATTATATAATTACTTATAGTATGTTATTAATATCCAAATGTATGTGCAAATTTTTTTTAAGATTATAATTAAATCTTAAACCAAACATCCATATCACAAAAAGATTGAAACGAACTGTTGTCGGTTGAGACGAACAATATAATGATCAATATATGTACTTTTAATAATTTTGATCAACGATTGTTTTTTTTCCTCTCCATAATGTGTTGTTTATGCATGAAATAGATACATATATCATTATGTCATCAAATGTTTTTACAATGACAACAATATAAGGTTAGTATTTGATATATTTCAAATTCATATTGTTATTTTCAATAAAAGAGAAAAAAAGTTTGTTTATTAAATAAGATATTTGTTAAAAATGTGTACTAATAGCAATATAATTTAGATACTATTTAAAAAAACCAAAGAGATAATATTAAACTCCGCTTAGGGCCCCCAAATTCTCAGGACCGGCTCTGGCCACCACCATCTCCGGCGGTTGTTGATTATCAGGCAGCTTAACTAATTAATTGATTCCTTGGCAAGCGATGAATTGTTAAGGACTCAATTGATCGGCATTAATTGGTTGATATTAACTATTTATACACACACACACACACCAAGTTTTTGAGGGGGCATAATTATTTGTAATTTCGGCAATTTCTAATATAATATCCTATTTTTCATTAATTTTCTATTGGCTCTTTTTTTTTCTTTTGCTTTTTAATATTTTATTAGAATTTGGTGCTCGATACTTTATTACAATAATGCATACATTTACTTATTAAATTAAATGGGATATTTTCTTCCAAACAATGATTCATTTAATTTGAATCTAGAATCATAGATACACCTAAAATAAATAAAAATAATTATAAGAATGGAATATTTCATCCATGAAATAGAATATCCATTAAAGTTAATCAAATTATACACATAATTAAGGACTATAATGAGATGAATTATAGGGTTAAGGGATGAAAATGTAACAAGAGAGACATTAGGGACTAAAATGGGACTAAATAATAAGACGAGGGATTATTAGTGATATTTGTTTTTTTTTTCTTTGTATGTTTAGTTTAATCAGTTTGATTATATTGCTGAAGTAAGAATACTTTTTAGGTCAAATATTTTTTAGTGTATTGATGTTTTTTCTATTTAATTTATTTTTTAATTGTTTTTAAAGGCCACCAAGTCAACGTGGCACTGCCTATAAATACTCACCTGTCCTTTTTACTCATTCACAAATCCATTTGTTTTTCTGAATATTCCAACTTAAATCAGGAAAAGAAAACATATGTATGGGTTTATTTAGGGTTAAATTGATTTTTATTATTTATATTTTCTTCGTCGTATCGATTTATTTAAATCGAGCTGCAGACGGCGGAAGAACTCCGAGTACGGAAAAGTGGGTAAGGACGAAACAAGTTGATCTACTCGGGTCATCTCTACCACGTGCTCCCGTGCCGCCGAGTAGTGGTACTTCATGCACACACATCCCCGGCCAGGGTGGCGGCGCGTGTACTTTGAATGAAAAACACTTTGCCGGTGGCGGTGGTGCCGCCGCCCGTGCACCACCAGCATCTCCGGCGACGGATATGGCAGTTTCTTTGGCAAGTGCTTGATTTAGGGAGAAGGATTGATCAGCTTCTTTGACCATTTTATTTAGTGTAACGTTTTTTAGGGGGCGGGATTTTTTGTAATTTCTCTATTTTATTTTATTTAAACGATTGCATATTTTTTTAATTTGTAATTACTTTAATAATTTAGAATAATTAAGTCAAGATTATATTGTTGGGGGTCAAGGTTTGGTCGGGTAATACCCCATGTTATTAGAACCGGACCGGACGCAAAACCGGATAGACATTCGGGTCACGGTTAGACCGGTTCAACCGGGTTCGACCCGGGTTTTTTATTTTTCATTTATTTTTATTTTTTTATTTATTTTATTTATTTTAAACTTCAAAAATACTATATTTCTATATATTTTTTTCCACATTTTTCCATATACCTCACTTCATTTTACTTTATTTTATTTTTTTATTCATATTTTTTTATCTCTCATCTCTCCATGACTCTCTCTCTTCCCACTTCTTTTTACTTTCTCCTTCACGTAGGCATAGGCAGCCTCTCTCTGTCTCTCTATCTCCTCTCCCTCTCTCTCTCCTTGAATCCAAAAACGCTTCTTCTTCCTTCCCTGCTTTTCTTTTTTTTTTTCTCTCTCTATTTTTCCCATTTCTTTCTCCATATCCAGCCTCCGACCACCTTATTCAGCCACGGCCGCCCAGATCCGCCCACCTAATAGTCTACAGCCGAGATTCGTCCATGTCCGGCCTCCGACCACCGGATTCAGCCACCGCCGCGCAGATCCGGCCACCATTTACTTTGTTTTGACAAAAACCGGGGTCATCAACCGGTTCGCCGGTTTCCGGGTTTTGCCCGGTTGAACCGGGTTTCGGTCATTTGACCCCGGTTTTTTATTTTTCCGGTTTTGGAGCTCAAACCGGACCGCCTTGTCGCCGGGTCGCGGTCGAACCGGTCCGACCGGCCGGTCCGGTCCGATTCTTACAACATTGGTAATACCTACTACCTAGTCATGAATTATGTTCATGTGGAATAATAAGTCAATTTTTATATAACATATGTATAAGTCAACATTTGGTTGGATTGTACGTTCAAAATTTAAATAAAATCAAATAGTTTATATATTTCCTATACTTTTAAATTGAATAGTGTAATATCAAGTTTATATACAAAGTTAATTATGAACCAACACACCTATATAACCCACAAAATTAAGCAAAATATTATAATTTTGAAACAAAACTTCTTGTGACGAAATTATTGTCTCAGTAGATCTTGAATTTTATGTGACAAAATAATTTGTCACAACAACCAACTGAAGAACCTGGTTTTTGTGACGAAAAGGGTTTGTACTGACGAAATCAAAGTGTTTATGTGACGATGGTTTTGTCGCAAAAAGTAAAACACTTGTGACGAATTTTTTTTGTCACAATATTTGTGACGAAAACATCAGTTTGTCGCCAAATACCTTTCGCGACGGGGCCTATGCGACGACGCCTGCGACGAAACAAATTGTCAAATAAAGTTTTTAGTGACGAAATATTAAGCTCTTGCGACAAAAAAATGTGTCACGTAAAGTCCTTTTTTTTTGTAGTGTATATTTCTATCCATATCAATCAATATTTAATTTTGTACTCTAACTAATAATAATTAGTTATTAAATAAATAAATAAATTATTTTAAAAGTGCTAAAAATGAAAGGATATATTCTGAAAAAAGGAAAAAAAAAACATCTAAAATAACTGACAAAATGAAATTAAAAAAAAATTGGGGACTTAAAAAAATATAGAAACATTCAAATATTTGAACTTTGAATATTGGACTATTTTGTATTTTTCAAACGTGTAGAACAAGGTATAAACTTACATTTGAATTGAATTTGAAGAAATAATTAAAATGATAATGAAAGCAGGACTCAGGTCAACTAAAGAAAATCACATATTCTGACTATTTTCTCTCAAACTTAATTACAGAATTTTTTTTTTTGACTTTATTTAATGTTAAAAGTACAATAGATTAGTCACTACATTTCAACTAAGGAATTTGGAATTTTTTGAATAATTTTCAAATTAGTACACTACTTTGAATAATATTCATTAATTTAAATATTCTTAGCTTATAATTATATAATTCGAACCAAATCTACATGCATTTCTTCGCGAATTTTCATTTGGCATTCGCAAAATTTATCATGTTACCTATCTCATAATTCCTTACAAATCTTCGTTCGCCAATTAGTCAAAATTAGTAGTCGATACTCGACATTAGAGAAGCACGCACGAAAACATTTTACCGGTTTACCGGATCCGAATTAACCATAGGGTCAAAATCACATGTGTTAAATCGGGTCGGACCTTGGATCATTTTCAAAATGGGCCAAGATTTTTTGTCAAAAGGGAACCCAACAACTCTCTTTCTAGCCCAATATTAATTACATAAACAATAATTTTTACGATCCACTTTTTTCCTCAATAAAATTACTTATAAATTTCAGTTTATTATATATTTTATATCACAGTTGAATTAAAATTGTATTCTTTTATTTTCGTCGGCTCCGATCCAAAATATTGTAATTTTGAAACATTTTTTTTTTGCTTCAATTTTCAATTTTCAATTTCCGACATTTTAAAATTCTTTCGGACGGAATCAAAGCTAGTTTTTCATTTATTAGAAAAAAAGTCAATTTTTTAAAGGTGTTAATTTTAATTCGATCCATCTGATTAGAGATAAAAAACTAAAATAGTTTAGTTCAAAAAATTTAAAAAAAAAAAAAAAAATCAGTTAAAATTATATTTAATTATAAAATAATATGAGAAATTTTGCAGGAAAATTTCTGAGTTTCCACCACTACTATCCTTCATAGAGCCAAAAACATTTCTCTCTCTTCTTTCTCTCTCTCTCCTCACACGCAGAAATCGAAAGGAAAAAATGGGGTTCTTTTCATTTCTCGGCAGAGTGCTCTTCGCTTCGATATTCATCCTCTCTGCATGGCAAATGTAAGTCCGCGCAAACTCTCTTTCATATACGTAATCAGATCTGCTGTTATACTTATTCATATCTGCAATTTTTGTTAATTTTCAACTATCTGTGATCCAAAACCCTAGGTTTCAGACTTGTTTCCCTGTTTTCAGATCTACCTCTATCCACATGTTTAGCTCATAATTTTAATTTTAATTTTTAAATTATTGTGTGATTGTGAGAAAACCAGAAACAGAAAAGAGAATTGGGATTTGGGAATACCCTTTTGCTTGAGGACCAGTTTATTTTAATGGGGGCTAGGGTTTAGGATTTTGACACGTGAAAATCCAGTTTAAGATTTTTATATTGATTCTTGATTTACTACTGGTTTTTGTGGAATTAGTTTATGGGGATTTTTCTACACGGTGTTAATTAGCTTGTTTATAGCGATTTCGTCTTGTTTAATAATCGAAAAAAGGAACTCGAAATTTCCTTATGATTTTTGCACTAGTTGAATACTCTTACGTTGCTTTTGGGTCGAATAGTTTACATTTGACTATTTGAGCTAAACCGTTTGCTTATTCTTGAACCGGTGAATTAATGTGAGTGCTACTGCTCGTTTTATGTGCCTGTACATTTTTTATAATATTAGTAATAATATCGTATACGATGTAAGGGAGTATAATTTAGCCATGTCAAAACACCCTTCGATTTATTAATAATACGCCTTGAAGGACGAGTGGGGTGGGGGTTGAGGATTGTACTCGAGCTGTTTTAGAGGAAAGCAAAATCAACCAAAATAACTGATGTTTTTAGGAACTATTTTAGAGCTTATATCGACTTATACATACTATTGCTACAATCAGCAGTCTACGATGTAGTTCGATTATGGCATTACATAATTAACGGCTTCCTAAAGTGGATGTATGTGGGAATGCAGCCAATTTTTCTGGCTTGTCCAGATATATTCGCTATTTCGTATTATGTTCAATGTATTGTTTTACATTTTGCTATCGAGTATGCATGGTTGTTAGTACTTCATCCGTCTAACTGGTGAAAGGGGCTCGTTTATATGTTCTTTTCTTGAATGCAGTCTCTCAATTATTTATGTCTCTCTCAATTATATATATATTGTAATTTTTTCGAAGAAGGTGGGGAAACTTTGAAACTGATATTTTGTGATCCCATAATCCACTTCTCGACCTTGGTTAATTAAAGACTTTGTGTTGATTCGGCTTTTTTCTTTAATACGTTTTAAGGTTCAATGAATTTGGGGATGATGGTGGGCCAACAACGAAAGAATGGGCTCCGAAATTAGCTACTCTCAAGAAGTCCATCGATGAAATAATCGGGAAAAACATTTTTCACCTTGATGTAAATAAAGACTTTAATATCGTTAAGAGTTATTTTCTATTTTCATAAGCTGCTTTTTTTTTCTTATAATATTGACTATGCCGATTTCATTTTCAGGCTAGGACTTTCGTTGCCACCTGTATTTCTTTGAAGGGATTAGGCGGTCTTCTATTTGTGCTTGGCAGTAGCTATGGTGCTTTTCTTCTGGTTAGAACTTCTTATCCAACCCTTCAACCGAATTCCATACGTGTAAAAAAAAAAAAAAAAAAAAAAAAGAAAATAATCATACGTGTACATTTCTGCTGAATGCTGCAGATATCTTACTTGGTATTGACCACTCCCATGTTGTATGACTTCTACAACTATAGCTTCGGTGAAGAAGAATTCTTCAGCCTCTTACAGGAGTTCCTTCAGGTATTACTACATTCTCGCATTTTTTTTCAATTTGTTTCGTCGCCTATTTTTATATGATTATTTACACGATAAGGTCTCGTTTGGTTGCCACAATGGGATTGACGTCCAATAATGTCCGAATTATTTAATTAGTGGTCATGGTATAACTTCTGAACGAAGACGAGACCTAAGTGCTGCATTATTCGAATCTATTTTTGAATTACCAATTGCAATTTATTCAAATCTATTTTCGGTACTTAATTGTGGTGATTTGAATTTTTGTTGGCAGTGTGCTGCACTTGTTGGGGCATTGTTGTTTTTCCTGGGGATGAAGAACTCTTTATCAAGAAAGCAACCCAGGAAGAAGACCCTCAAACCAAAGGCAGCTTGAAAGAAATGGAATCGAAAATACGAGGTCTAGGGGTAGTTTTTTTACGGGTGTATTTCGGGTAAAAGAAGATTTTGTATTTGGTGCAGATCAGCATTTTGAAAACCTTGTATTAAATGTCAGCTTCCAATTGATATTTCCCAATTCCCATAATTCTTTAGTTGATGACTGATTTGTTTCGAATTTTAGCCGAACGAAACCATTAATTTAGCAATTTGTTCAGAGATGTTTGGTATTATTCTATGTCTTAATTTTTTTAATTTCTTTTTTGACAAAAAAACCGTAGTCGAATACGTGCATTGGTTAAATCCGGGTGTCGTGCAATACCATTTTATACTAGTATAAAGGAGTGAAGAGACTGTGTGTTTTGCTGTTAAATAATAGAGAGATGCACCATTTTTTTTAAGAGAAGATTGATGATATCCCACATCGGTTTTGAACAGAAGAGTTGGATACCGCTATGGGTATAAGTAAAAGGTAGAATCGGTGTAGAAGGATTAAAAGGGTTGGTTGGCTAAATATGCCATGCTAGCCTTGTGTTAAGGCTAGTGCTGTATGGCTATCAAGACATATGGCCGACACAATTTCTGGAACTTTCACAGGGTTGGCCCCATTGGCCGACCCTCCATTTCTTATTTTTCTAAACTTTTATTAATTATTATACGAATATTATATTAATATATATATATATATATAAATATATATATATATATATATATATATATATATATATATATGTGTATGTATATATCAATTTAATTGTTTTTCTTATGTATTTAATAAATAAGGGTAAATAGCACTTAATCCCTTCATGGTTTGGACATTTTCCACGTGATCCCCTTATGGTATCAATTTAAAGTTTAAACACATAACCCCCTTGTAATTTTGAGCACATGACCCCCTTATGGTATGAAATTAGCACATAACCCCCTTGAATAGAAAACTAGAAAAGACTAAATTACCCATATCAAGTCAAAAGTTCTTGTTTCAATTTAAAAATAATTATTCTATAAAATGAAAAGCTTAATGTTTTTTTTTGTAAAATGAGAAATATAATATATTATTGTGTTTTTTCTATGTTACCGCATATATATTTTATTTTAAATTTAATTTTCATTTCAACTTTAGAAAAATGTTTTTTTTTAGATTTTTCCAAAAGATTAAAAAAAAAAGACTTTGTTTCTTAAAAAAATTAAAGTTCGATAACAGCTATAATATAATATATTATATAGAAAATAGTAATATAATAATCATAATTAATGATAAATTAAAGATTTTCAAATTGATTTTTAAAATAGAATAAATTGTCAATCGTGCAATAACTCGTATTTTATACCTTGTGTGCTGTAAAATAAAAAAAAAACACAATAATATATTATATTTCTCATTTTACAAAAAGATACATTAAGCTTTTCATTTTATAAAATAATTATTTTTAAATTAGAGCAAGAATTTTTGACTTGATAGGGGTAATTTAGTCTTTTCTAGTTGTCTATTCAAGGGGATATGTACTAATTTCATACCATAAAGGGGTCATGTGCAAAATTTCACAACCACATGGGGGTCATGTGCAAAATTTCACAACCACATGGGGGTTATGTGTCTAATTTTATACCATAAGGGGGTCATGTGCTAAATGTCAAAACCTTAAGGGGGTTATGTGCTTAAATTCATACCATAAGGGGGTCATGTGCAAAATGTCCAAACCACAAGGGGGTAAAGTGCTATTTACCCTTTAAATAAATATTTTTTCTACTTTTGAAAGGTTATTTTCTGGGCATTGCACGTGGACTGTGAAGAAGTACTAGTTGATATAATTGCTTATTTTTCTTAACTAATCTGTAAACCCAAAGGGAACTTCTTACCCAATCTATACCTATATTCCACCCAACCCAATTTTAGTATAGACAATTCTATCACACTTCAAATTATATTTCCATATTTAGAAATTGCGTGGTTGGGTGTCTCATACCCTCATTTTTCCAAGCTATTCACATATAATTCCATAATACAGATAAACAATAATTACAATATTTTCATCCGGCTTAATTTTATTAATTTAGTGAAATATTAATTTTAACGATATACGTTTTAATACATTGTGCTCGAATGAGACCATGAAAACATACTTAAGTTATTAATTTGTCGAATATTAATTTATTCCTCCTTAAATACCATATATTTCCTTTCACTTGTGATGTAATTTGTTTTGTTCTGTGGATATTTCTTAAATTCTATCAAATCCCTTTGTCACAATTTAGCCTGATAAATCCAAATATCATTATAAATAAATATAACAATCACCATAACGTAAATAGCCGTTCCCATTACGATTACAAAAAATCATAACCATAACATAAACTAAGAAGCAATTAAACAGAAAATAAATGTAAATAATGGAATCAAAATACAACTAATCCCCACCATTTTCATAATATATTTATATTAATTATTATAATTCTTTATTTATTTAAAATTTAGAAGGCAAAACCACTTGATTTTTCACACCAAGCAGCCGACAAACCTCCGGGAACAAAGACTTCCTAATCCCGGCGTACGCCTCCCCATTCCACCCCCTCTTCCCCAACTCCTCCGCCATGCGCACGGCAGCATCTACCGCCTCCTCAGCGCTATCGTGCGCCGAATCGACAATCCCCATCCCCTTCGCCGCCTCCGCCCTAACCTTCGCCGCCCGCAGCACCAGCTCCCGCCGCGCCCCTGGGGAGCCGAGCTTCCCTTGAATCAAAGCCATGAAGTAATCGGGCAGGGTCATACCTATATCCAGCTCGCTCATGTACATCACCCCCTTCGACGACGTCATCGTGACGTAATCGTGACTCATGGCAAGGATCAGCCCCGCCGCCGCCGCGTGTCCGGTGACGGCGGCGATGGTCGGCATAGGGAGGGAGAGGAGATCCGACACGACTCCCCTGAACAGATCCACCATCCGGTGCAGCTCCGATCTGGCGGCTTCAAACGAGCCGGCCTTGACGCCGACGGCTTGCGCGTGGACCAAATCGAAGCCGTTGGAGAAGAACCTGCCTTCGGCTACGGTGACGAGAGCCGATCCATTGACGGCTTGCGATTTGGCTTCGGCTAGAGCCGATCGGATTGATGAGATGAGCGCCGGATTCAAGCGGTGCTCCTGATCTTGCTTGGATTCCCCCGTTAGGGTTAGGATGAAGAGATCGCCGCGCTTCTCTAACGTGCACATCGCCGGCGTATGTTAGCGAAATCGATAAGATGAAGATGATAGTCGGG